CGAAACGCTCAGGGATTCATCACGAAGAAGGGTTACCCCCAACACACACGTGTGACGCGAGTGATCGATGGCGGAGAACCCATTGAGTTCAAGAATGTGTTTAAATCGTGGAAAGATAGCGCCGAAACCAAAGGCTTAGGCAATACATATAATGTGGGGAAAATTGCAAAAGTAATTCCCCAGAAGTTTGATCCGACGATTCTGCACGAGAATCACGTGTTGGCCGCCGAGACTCAGATGGTGGACGACGGGAAGGCCCAGAAGCAGATATTTCGGGTCAAAGAGTTTGACTTAATTGAAGTGCCGAAAGAAGATTTTGGCAAATTTTACTCCGGAGACTGTTATCTCATTATCTATTCCGGAGCGAAGACTACAATCATTTACTATTGGTTGGGATCTAAATCATCGGTCGACGAACGCGGAACCGCTGCCATGAAAACTGTCGACTTTGACAATAATATGTTTGCGGGTCAAGCGGTTCAGGTGCGTGTGGTTGAAGGGAAAGAGCCAGCTCATTTTATGGCCATGTTTAGCGGCAAGATGGTTATTCTTATGGGAGGGTTTGGCAGTGGATTCAATGGCAACGACAATAATAACTCGAATGAACAGCACATAAGCCTTTTGCAAGTGAGAGGAACCAATCAATACAATACCAAAGCAGTTGAAGTACATCCGAGCGCATCGTCTCTTAACTCCAATGATGTGTTCGTTTTGTTAACTCAAGAAACAACTTATCTTTGGGCCGGAAGGGTATGTCTCAACTCATTGATAACAGAGTGTAACTAATTATTCAAATAAATTATTTTTAATTATAGGGAAGTCTCGGCGATGAACGAGAAATGGCTAAAAGTATTGCCGAACATAAGGGAAATGAAGTGCTGTTAGTATCTGAAGGACAAGAAAAGAGCGAATTCTGGGACGCAATCGGAGGCAAAGAAGAGTACTCTAACGNATTGCCGAACATAAGGGAAATGAAGTGCTGTTAGTATCTGAAGGACAAGAAAAGAGCGAATTCTGGGACGCAATCGGAGGCAAAGAAGAGTACTCTAACGACAAGAGACTACAACTCAGCGATGATCCACATTCTGCTCGACTCTTCCAATGCAGTAATGCTTCGGGAAATTTTTCTATCGAAGAGATCCCTAACTTTGATCAGTCGGACCTCATTCAAGACGATGTCATGATTTTAGGTAATTATGATTTACAAAATGTATGCAAAACTAATAAATGATATATCGATGAATCAGACGCCTGGGAAGCGCTGTTCGTTTGGATCGGAAACTTATCGAATCGGGAGGAAAGAAAGCTGGCTCTGGAAGCGGCCCAACAGTATCTCAATACTGATCCGAGTGAGAGAGACGTCGACACTCCCATTATTGTTATCAAACAGGGCTACGAACCCATCAATTTTACCGGATTTTTCGGTGTTTGGGACATAACTCTCTGGAATGTAAGCACTTCTGACAAACTTTCAAATCTATTACAACAGATTAAACTCAATTTGAAAT